ACCGATACCAGACGATCAAACTTGCGACTTACGTAGACCATTATCATGCATTTGTCATTTTTGTTTTTGCCCTTATGATGGAGATGATAGATTGTAATCTTATTCCCCTAATACAATGATTCTGATAAGGCGCTTTAGGATGGTTTGCTTGATTCTGCTCAGTGCGACGAAGCATCACGGGTCTATGCTTCCGTTATCAAGAAGAAAAGGAAGACTAAATCTGCCCTTAAGCTTTCGGACGGGCTCGAAGCTCCGAAAAAAATAAGTCGCAAAGATGGAGCGGAAGACACGCTACCGTTACTACATCATTAGGGTATAAGGACAGTCCCACCACCAGTGGTGAAACCACCTGCTCCAGATGTTGAATCAAAGGCCCGTTGGGTAAATGCACCCCACCGTGGTGATTGTTTCACTGATAATAGCGTTATATTCAGTGGCGCAGCTGAATCCACTGCTGTTCTTCCTGCTGCTCGCCTGTTGGACGACCTTCAGTGGTTTAAAATCTGCGTAAGGAAGCTATTTCCGCCTACTTTCCAGGCGTTACTGTCAGAAAGTTGATTACACTGGGGAACCTTCCAGTTAGCGCATCAAACCCTCAACCGCGGCTACTTCGTGTAGTTCTTTTTGCCCCTGAGGAACGCAACGCTTTTTTGCTGTTTGCTTTTAAACGGAAGGGTACTAATATTAGTGTTCAGCTGGACCTTCCGCTGGCAGATAGGCTGAAGCTAAAGCCAGTCATCAAGAACCACAAAAGCAGGCCGGTGAACAGGGTCTTCGGTCGGTGGGTGTTTATGTGGTCAGTCGGCGGTCTTTCTCCGTCCTACTAGGGCCCGTTCTGATAGCTCACGACCCAGGCCTGAACATACACACCATCAATGTGCGCAGCCTAAGGAATAAGGTCTACGAATTAAGTCCGTTTGTAGAGTTTGCTTGAAACCGATTGATGAGTCGTCGTCGTCTCAGGAGGGTTCGTGAACAGCTCATTCCATTTTGGATTAATCTAATCAGTTTCCTCTTGGTTCATATTAAACTTTGAAATGATGGTATTGACAATTCATTCTAACTAGTCTATTCTCTTTTCTCTCGATTAACATGAGGTTTGCACTGCCATTTCTGAGCCTTCAGATGATGTCTTAATAGGACCACACTAGATCTTAAAGTATTACTAGCGTCCGACATTTTTCTAGTTAGTGTATCCATAATATATGGGATTTCAAGTCAATTAAACTTTCGCAGCCGGTGTCTAAGGGCCTGAATAAAACTTCGCTTCAGTTAACCCACTATAAACAAGGCACCGAAGTCCGGTGGATCCAGTTACCATGAGTCGCGTCGCCAGGCTAATGAGCTTGAAGTAACATAATACAAGGAAGCTAGAGTTAAGAAAGTTCGTAAAACTAATGCAGATAAGATGAATATTAACAACCAGTTGTACGAAATCGAATGTATAAGTGCCACTGACTGAGCAACTGCACCAAGTCCGGTACATCATCATCGTTATACACATTAGCTAGAGGTGGGAAACACCCCAGCTACTGTGCCACAATACATAAATGAAAAAGACGCAACAGTTGCGTGCCAGCTGAGCTACTAGTAACAGACGGGTATCGTTCCGGTAAGCTGCCAGCCGACTCCTATGCAGCAAAAAAATTTATCTTGCAAAATTGTATTAGGATAAGAAGTGAGATCGTGGTTGGAGGGGGTGGCTAAGAGAGATGGAGTGCGACAAAGAAACTCACAGCACGAACGCCATTGAGGTCGGCCCCTAGCCATGTCAGCGTGTGTCCATCCAAACGTGTTCATCATCGTTCGGATCTCAACCAGGGAGTCAAGACTCTCCAACCTAGGCCAGCTTCGAAGTGAGGGCCTTCATTCCTCTGGACCAAGTCATCGCTTGACCACCCCTCTTCTTCCATCCACACCCCAGGCGCACAAACAACGCACGTCACGGGAGCTGGTGGGCTGGCCTGCGTAACACGTGGCCGAGCCATCGGAGCGTGGTGCGTGAAATAACGGTGCTGAGCGGTTCACTTCCTTTTCCTGTGCCGTAAGGCGTCGAACATCCTCGTTGCTCACTCAGTGGTCCCACCAGATGTGAGCCAAACTGCGAATTCACCGATGGTGGAACGTACTCAGCCTCTTTATGTCGGCTGATCTAATGGGCAGGATTTCACAACTGTACAGTAGGGTCGAACGTACCGCTGCATTGTACACTATCCTCCAAGGCGAGAGTGCTATCGCGCCGGCACCATAAGTGGCTTTTGCTATACCGTTCATGCTCTCATATTCAATCCCACGGGCTTTGATACAACTTCCGTTAGTTTCATTTTTGAACGCCTTCTAGCTGATCTCCACCAAGGGTCAGCGCAGGAGGCGGTCCAGGTGATATAAGTCGTCTTTCACCGTATAATCGTTATAGTGTGTGCGCGCCTAGGCCGCTATGACGAATAGACACCTGTTAGTCCCACTCGACTTCGAAGCTTTGAACGAGCCATCCAATCGCACCGCACATATCCGGCTACCGGTTGGGATCCAATCAACCAGAGTAGCTTCAGCCCGTGGGCTTAGGGCAATGCCAACACCGACCTGGCCAGTGCTCAAAGCTGCATCGTCCCCGGATAGGCGCAAGGAGAAAGTGCTGTTGGTCTCATCTGAAAGGGATCGCAGAGTGAGCATAAAGCTCGAGTCTTGCAGGTACGTCTCCGATACGCAGCGGATATCGATCGGGAGGGCATTTAATGTTCGGGCAAGTGCTGCCTGTTGACCGATCTGTAGCAGTCTGCGTACATTGAGGCATGCCAATCTGAAGGAGGATCGAGGGCTCCAAATGGAAGCCGATAAACTGGGCTTAACCATTTGGTTGGACATGGGCTTGTCAACAGGGCAGGAATGACGTTCCGCGTTTGCATGTGAGTTAAAACTAAAAGGTAAAATTTAAAACAGTTAGTTCCCTTCACTGTTTGAACAACGAAACGAGAAGACGAATAGTGACGGATATTAACATTTCGTATTATCTCGTCAGTACCAATACAATAACAGGGAAATCCTTTTATATGCCTTACAGGGCGCAGTCAAGCCAATCAACTTGGTGGTTGTGGTCATTGTTGTTGGGATTAGGTCCTCAGATTGACCACTAATTGCTTTTGGACACACAAAGCTGGTCTAATTCGGCTTATCGCGACGGCCTCGGAAAATCGTAAAAGACGTGCATTAGTATGACGTAACAAGATCTGGAACGCCGATAAGGGATTGACCTGGTGACGAGTCGCCAAAATGTGTCTACCTATGGAAGACGCTGGTGGCTTACGCGAGCACGTATCATCGGAGGTGGATTGAGTAACTTCGCGCTGAACCCAATTTGGTAAGTGCTCCTTCACTGCAATCTAAAGTTTGTTCGGTCCTGCCGATGTAGCTGATACCGCAGTCACACACGAATTGCTAGACTGTGATTTGGCGCCGACGGGTTCATCTTCCTTTACTGAACGTAACGGCAACTTTCGGGTTCTGTTGATAATTACCGCCTACGCAGCACAGTATGTACGCTGAATGGCCGAGACTACGCGTTTGGTTATCTTTCTTGTTGCGGTGTTACCCTTGAATGGTAGCTCGATGTACACATTTTTCTTAGGGGCTGTTAACACCATCTTGTGCGTTCTAGCTTGGCTATGTTTGTCTATGAATCGCTTTGGACTACCCAAGCCATCGCACCACGGTAAGGTCCAGTCTCATTGTGATGGCCAAGTCCGATACAGTTTCCAACCACTGATTTGTATCATCCCGAGGTTCCCCCTCAAGAAGACGACACGCACCAGCCTGATCAAGTCTCTCAGTCATCAGCTGGTCACCTCGTAGTTTCGCCTAACTTGATGCATCCACGGTGTGTAATGCACGCTGAGAAATACGATCAACCAGCATACGGAGGACTTGACCCAGCCTGTGTAAGCAGTTAAGGTTCAGCAGACACCCGAGTGAGGCACCAGAGGGGTTCTTACCAACAGCCAACTGGCGTATCTCAGCGTTACTCACCCGGTGTTTCCACCAGATTTGTACCATACTACGTAAGCACAGTGGTCAAACATAGCCAAACGTTTAACCTCTTCACTGCGAACTGGCCAACTCTTCAGCCCATGCGGTAACACTGGCCTTATGGCAGCGTTATACACCCTCCATTTCACTAACAGGCTAATGTCCCACTATCTCCATAGATGGTTGAGCCCCTGAAATGCCACACAGGCTTTGCTGCAACGCGAAGTGCCCTCCTCAGTGATATGAACATCAAAGGTGACACAAGTACTAAGGCAACTGAACCAATCTGCCACTTCCAGTTTACACAGCCACTGCATCATACTCTAGTGCTATGTCGTCGGCGGTTTACCAATCAGTTAGCTGGGAGGACTTCCACTCCGGAAGAGCCTAAAAGTACAGTGTTATTCGTGACCATTTCGATCAAAAAGTTGAAGACGAAATTAGACATAGGCAGACCTATCGCATCCCACTTGTTGTGGTTAACTAAATAGGTAGCTTTCCGTTCAGTTGAAACGTCAGAATTGAGAGGAATTTCACTGGTCTGCCCTTCGCCGATACGCATTACCAAAAGCGGAGACGATTAACATATTCAAAAGCGGCTTTCAAGCCGGGGATAACTATCGTAGTCGGTCGTCTGTTAGTGTCTCTGCTCTGTCACTTGATCAGGGCAGCATCCTGGCTTTTCATGATTCGATTCTCTCGAGGACCATGGAAGAATGATACCCGTGTGAAGTTTAGAGGCAGTGAAAGCAAAGCTAATGCATCACTATTTTTCGTGTAGTTCTCTGACTTTTTTGACTACGGACACGACAGTTGACAGTCACCAACTTGAAAGCATTTCTTCACCTTTCAAAAAGGCCATTCCATTCTTTTAGGGCACGTTGAATTGTCATTTACATTGATTCCCCACTCTTTAGAGGGGTTTTGCAACGCAACCTAAATCATGCAGTATTTATACGGTATTTCTTTTCATTTACCAGCTTGGTCATGGTGGACTGGATGAACCCTGATCTGCTCGCTTCATTACCCGAAGGTGTCACTCCGTACCAATTTCAAGTTGCTGGTCATACAGAAACCAAATCAACGGGTTATGCCCGTAAGTTCTTCTAGCCTTTACTTCTTCTGTTAACGCGATGGATCTAGGCAGCGACATAAAAATGAGCGGACGAATTTTGCACTTACTGTCTTCATCCTTGGGCCAATATGCGCTCTTTTTTCCACAATCAAAACGGTTCATGCTTAGCTCACACACGCTTAGCCAACGTTTTCCGTACCTTCCGTATGATACTTCCTTTTATGGTTGCGCTTAGTATCACGCGGTGCCATGTTTCCAAGTTATTTTCTTTTTCTTCAATGTCGTCAACCAGGTCGCCACTTAGAATGTCATTGTTTTCCGCAATATTCTCATTTGACTTACTCATGCGCGGCAAGCGTTTACAACCGCTACATCTCACAATTCTTAGCCATTGTTTATATTTGGTCCCTAGTGCCTCTTGTTCAACCCGGGGAGCTATGCAGCCGGATCCCGAGATGTGGTCTTCCGTATGCGTCCTTATTTTGCGATTTGCTGAGGAGTCCTAACTTCCGGAAGTAACTGTGACTAAGCCTCATATTCTCCACTTAAACTTGAATAAGCGACCACGGATGATTCAGCTTCGATGCTAGTTTGGGTGATAAATTCTTCGCTTTTCGGGTGTTTTTTGTGGAAACCCCATTAGGCAGTAAAATAGCAGCTTGACTTGACGGATGTGGCACTTACAATTAAAGTGATCGCCCCTTGGGAACATTACGTATCGGCATTTGATTCGAGCATCAATTTTGCCTTAGAATTAAGGATTGTTGGGCCCCAAATTATTGTTTACCATTGTTCTAGAAGCTTGCAAACTGTTTCTTTAGCCGCCTCTGTTAGAAGAACCACATTCTATAGAATCAATTCGTATACTCTGTATCGACCAATGTGTGCAAGTCTCATCTCGCTCTGCCATTTTTATGAACTATACCCCTTTTATGAAAGCTCGGGCGGTAACCACTTAAGAACTCCCTAGTTTGACCTGGATTAACTAGTACTAACTTCTCTACTGATGAATCATTGAACTGCAATCTATCTTTCCGATGACAGCATACTCTACTATTAAGTCTACTTTGCAAATACTATCCACTTGTCTTCTATTGATCTTTACTACATACATTGTTATCTGCCTCCTCAGTGATGAACAGCATCACAACATCTGGTGAAAGTGTCACCTTACCAACCCTTGGCACAGCTACACAGTGTCTCGCACGTGCCAGGCTGTCTAACATTTTCCACCTTTGCCTCCGCGATATGGAACACAGTTCGATTTGTTAACTTTTAGGGTGCGCACCATAGCAGATCGAACAGCAAGCCGCTAGAATAGAATATGAGATCAAGAACTGTATGGCAAGAGCTTGAGACGCTTTTGTTAATCCTCGCTGCTTATGGAGTCGACGCGAAATCACTCTTGCCCTGAAGTGCATTTTACAACGCAGCCGTGCGTTTAACCCTCATATACAGTTACGAAACCTTTTCCATCAGATCGACTGACATAAAGACGCTAGTTACGTCCGTTTATCGTTACCTTCGCAGTTTGGTTCATGGTTGGAAGAGGAGGAGGGGAGGTCAAGTGATGACTTGGTCGAGAGAAATAAAAACCCTCACTTCGAAGTTGGCGCCGGTTGGTGCATCCCGACTGCCTGGCTGGGGTCCTAAGGACGGTGAACACGTTTGGTTGGACACACTTGCTGATATGGCTTGAAGCCGGCCCCAATGTCGTTTGTGTTGTGAGTTCCTTTGTCCACTCCCCTCCAGTTTAGCATCCCCATCCAATCACGATCTCACTTGTTAGGCGTAATATGACTCTCTTTTACGACAGCCAGCTGTTAGCTCTCCGGATCGATGTCCATCCGTTACTGGGGACTCAGCGGGCGTGCCACTGTTTGTTTTTTCTTTTCTTGTCTTTTGTATTGCGACATAATAGCTGAGGTGTTTTCCACCTTCAGCTAACGTGTAATGATGATGATGATTGGTTCATGTTCGGTGGGAACACCGCTAGGACGGTGGATGTGTTCGGTGTCTCATATATGGCACAAGATGACGGATTGCACCTCTAAGCATCATTAAATCACGCACCAGACTCATGGCTGGGCCACGTGTTGCGCATGACAGCGCACCGACTCCCGCGACGTGCGTTGTTTATGCAATGAAGGTGTGGATGAAAGAAAGGAAGAGGAAGCCAAGCGATACCTTGGTCAAGTGATATAAAGACCCTCACTTCGAAATTGGCATCGGTCGGCGCCTCCCGACTACGGGGCAGGGGTTCGAAGGACGATGAACACTTTTGACTGGATACACTTGTTGACATGGCGAGGAGCCGACCACAATGGTGTTCATGTTCTGAGTTTCTTTATCCTTCCCCTTCGCGTTTACATTTCCTCTTCAACCGCCATATTGTACCCGATGCATGATATGATACTAGGCATTCTATTGCCTGTTTTGGTTTTGTATTCTCTAATCTATCACTTTATCATATATCATTTTGTATTGTGGCACAATGGCTTAGGTACTTCTTGTTAGATCTTCACGTTTTCTCCCTATTCCGAATTAAACACCCAAAAAATATCCTTGCAAAAATTCTAGCTCAGCCGAAGAAAAATCAAAAATCCAACGACCTTGGCCGCGAAAAGCGTATTAACGAAAACGCCGCCTAGCCAAACCGTTGTATAACCAGGTCAGACCCACGCCAAATATCTAAGTGGCTCAATGACCTTCGGCTTCTGGAAAACGGTGAATTGGTAAAATTCGAACCCTGCCTGCCAAAACTCCGTATGCTGGCAATCATGTGAAGGAATGGAAGGTTTCGGAATCTCCGAAATCAATACACAATCGAATATAATCGATTAATTGCTAAAATAATGGTTTTTCCTTGATGTTTTTACCTTTTCCTGGATACCTCTCCTGAAACGGCTGCCGCGGTGTATGATAGCCTGGGATTTTCCTAAAATCTCCTGGAAGGTGTTCTATGCCTATCAGTCATCACCTTGGCTGTAGTGTTCTGGATTCAAGTTCCGTGCTCTGCGGTCTGGTATCATTCTACTGATGACATGGTCCTTCCACGGGCTTTTTAGATAAGTTGAAGCTGTCCGCCAACTGGTCAAATTGAAGCTCCGCAGATTCTGTTGCTTGTGGCTGACACGGTGTTGGTCGCAGTTGGTTTGCATAACGTACCCATACGTGCGTTCCAACCAGCATGTCGTAAATGACGTTCCCGTGCTTGCCCTGGATCGTGCCTGGTGTCCATTTTGCGTGTCGTTCCCGATAATCACGTACAACTATTGGCTGACCCGGTTTAAACGAACGTTGCTTGACACCATACTGCCGAATGAAATCACGTTCCATCTTGAGCTTCCTTTCACCAGCTGTATGCTCTGAGGACGGCCGAACTGCATCAAATGGCATGCAAATCTTTCTCTTCATCAATACCACTCGGCGTTTGTGGATTTTGTGTAGATCGTACAAAAAGTGGACGCGGTCGTTCACCCCCCCCCTCTGTCTCTCTCCTTGCTTTGAGGAAAGCGCGTTTGAATGTATCCACCAGTCTCTCCGCTTGGCCGTTCGGTTGTGAGTGGGATGATAGAGACCACAACGTTTTCCGAACTCCGTGAATGTGGCCGGAGTAAACTGTGCTCCATTGTCCGTCACCAGTGTTTCAGGGCAACCGAATCTGCTGAAGATTTGTGGCAACCTCGAGACTTGCGCTGCTTTTCTTGCTGCTCATGAAGGACACTTTGAGCCACTTGCTGTAAGCGTCGACCACTATGAGAAAGTTCTGGCCCATGATTGGGCCTGCAAAATCGACCTGAACACGGCCCCAAGGTTTAGTTGTTTTTGGCCACGAGTGGAGTTGTCTCTGGTGGGGCCCTTTAAGCGGTAACACAGTTGCTACAACTTCCCGCTAGCTGCTCCACCTGTCTGTCTATAAACGGCCAATACACATAACTTTGGACAAGCGCTTTCATTCGGTTGGGCCCTGGATGTCCTGCATGGAACTGCCGCAACACTCTTTCTTGCAAAGCCTGCGGGATGATTACTCTCTCTGAAAACATGACGCACACGTTCACAATGGAGAGCAAAGGTCTCGCTGATAGAGCTGCTGCATTTCGGCAGCTGAACACGAACGTGGCCAGCTAGTTCTGTGGAACTGTGTTACTTTCTTCAGGATTGGATCTCGAAGCGTTTCGGCCGTAACTGGCAGACCATGTAATGCCTCGCTCACCAGGAATTTGACATCAGCTTCGCTCTCAACTCATGGTATGAACTGAGCAATCAGTCACTGGCTCTCAATGGGCGCGATTTCCTGAATTCGTTCCGCTACCTTGCGGGCAGGCTACTCAGCCAAAGGCTCGGAGTGGTGTCCCCTAACGCATCACCCTACTTCGGCTTGAGCAACCGGATAGTATCTCGCCCTCTGACGAAACCATGGATTTTGATGTGTTATGTTGTGTCTTCTTTTACTATTTCTGTACCTTGTTTTGAGTTCCATGGTTTCGGATGGCTCAATGTCTATTCATAGACTGTTGCACACACACATATATATATATATATATATATATATATATATATATATATATATATATATATGTGCCCCATGCTAAGGCTAATGTTGCATTCTTGATGCTTCTTCACCGCAGTTGGGCTAAACCAACTTACACTTAAACTAGGTCTTTTTAAGCTGGATAAATTTCATTCCGCTTTATTTGGTTTGTTCTGCCTCCCTGAATAATGTTCTATTAACTGGCCACGTTACTTACACTAATTGCGCTTATATTCGGTAATTTTGTTGCCTTTGTAGCATTTTAAGTAACTTGTGGACATTTCTTACTTATCTCCTATTTGTTGCTAACCAAACTACTTCATATGGTAATTTGGCGAAGAGTTATGCCACCGTATCTGTATGTATTATTGGATTTATTTTATTTCAGCTTGTCGTTTAAAGTGAATGGCTGTTGCTTGATATCCCCGGTGTGGCTGCGCTTGATGTGTATGTTGACAAGGTGCCTACTTGTCTATTACCCACTACA